AATCTGAGTTAGAAAAATTTTACAATGAGAAAGCCAATGGATTAATTGTACGTTCCAGGGCGAGATGGCATGAACAAGGGGACAAAAGTACAAAGTATTCTTTTAAGTTTGGAGAAAAGAAACCAATTACAAGGAAACATGTTAGGAAACTTTGTCACTACCAACTATGAAAAAAATAATAGGCTCATCTTTGAATTATTATAAAAATCTGTATAGTATTAACAGTGAGGAGCAGTGCGATTAGTTGGATTACTTTCTTGGTCAAGCTAGCATTCCAGAATTGTCAGAGGAAGAAAAACTAAGTTGTGAAGGACGATTAACTATTGAAGAATGTGCCAAAACACTGGATACTTTAATTTGGAAATGGAAAGAGGGTACACACGCCGAATTTTACAAAACCTTTTGGAGCTCTGTAGGTGAGCTCACAACTGATGCTTTTAATTATTGCTCTTTTGACTCAGGAGAAACGTCAAATTCACAAAAACAGGCAATTATGACATTAATTGATGAAAAAAGGTAAAGATCAAATGTATTTGGAAAGCTGGACGCTGATTTCATTAGTCAATGCTGACTCCAAGCTTGCTTCAAAGGTCATTGCCAACAAAATCAAAAAAGTCCTTCTTCAAATAATCCGCCTTAAACAGTCTGATTTTAGCAAAGGTAGATTTATTAGAGTCAGGTGGCTTACTCAATTCTCAACATTATTGATTATGCTGAATTGTTAAAGATACCTGGTATTCGACTGTTTATAGATTGTGAAAAGGCCTTTGACTCTACTGAATGGGATTTTTTTTATCAATCACCAGAGGCCTTCCATTTTGGTCCGACCCTAATAAGATGAATTAAAACCCTTTTTAAGAAAACTCTTGAGTTGTGTTTTAAAATAATGGGTTATTTTCCAAGCCATTTAAGTTACAAAGAGGTGTAAGGCAAGGGGACTCTTTGTCACCCTATTCATTTGTTGTGGCAATTGAAATTTTGGCTATATCTCTTAGATCAAATGAGCATGTTTAGGGCATAAAAATTGATAATGATGAAATTAGAACACTTCTATATATGCCAATGATATGACTACTACTCTGGTGAACACCTCTTCTGTAGAAATCTTCGTGCAAATACTGAACAATTTTGAAAAATGCCTTGGTTTAAAAATGAATATTTCAAAAACTGAAGTGATGTGGAGTGGGGAAAATAATTCATTAGAAATTAAAAAGAAGCTGAAATTGCCTTAAAAACATTGACAATAGTTATTAGGCAACTATTTTATTTCCCTCTCATTTACCATGATTAGTCAAGAACAGTACACTACAGCACATTCTCTAAAAAGAGTTTAAGTTGATTTTAAAACAACTTGAGTTTTCTAAGTATTCCTCTGAGAGTAGTGTCTACGTGCTCTTTGTCCTGAGGTCTACCAATGTTTAAATATGTTAGAAAATTTTACTAACCATGTCGGGTTAGTTAGACACACTTTTAGTAACCAAACGTTGAAAATTACTAACCATTGGTTAACGTGTTACCATTAATTTCAAGCCCTGCCATTGCATGAATTATTCTTGATCCCTTATAATGCAGCAGGTAAAACTTATGTCTGGTCTTTTTACAAATACCAAATTATTTAAAATTGGGTTAATTGAGTCAGAGATGTGCTCCTTCTGTGCAATTTACAAAAAAGACTTATACCATCTCTTTTATGACTGCTCAGTATCCATGAGCCTTTTGGAACAGGCTTTGCAACTGGTGGTCTAATTCTCAGGGTGAAAATCTGAACTAACCTCTAAAAGAAGTTACAATTGGCATTTGAAATAGAAATGACCTACTAAATTATCTGATAATGCTTGGTAAACTGTGTATATGGGAGTGTAGAAGGAACGAGTCAATCCCAAAGTTTAATTTGTTTCTACACAAAGTAGAAGCCAAGAAGGAGAGTGAGAGACTTTTTACCTTAAGATATAAGAAGCTTCAAGATTTTAGGAAAAGATGGGAAATATTTTTGTTGTGACACTGCATGGAGGAAATCTAATTGAAGTGTTTCTCCTTAGGTTCCTAAATTCTCCCAGTCCAAACTCCACAGAAAGTCCCGTAAAAACAACAAAACAACCACACTAAATTTTTTTTTGGCGTAAGCACTTCTCCCCTAAATCTGGGTCTTTTATTTCTGAACTGTCAATCAATTCGCGTGAGTAACATAACTTCAGACTGGTAAAGTTAACTTCAAGTTCGCTTTTTCAAAAGTTTTTTTAGAAAAAGAAAGAACAGAAAATAATCCTTAACATGAAGTATTTGCACTGTGTCTGTGATGTGTTGTGCTGTCTACCTTTCTAGTGCAGTAAATGGTTTGAACCCGGGGGTAACATGTGAAGGTGTAGTCTGATCGTCCGGGTGAGTGCAGTCCTGAGAAGGACTGTTGTCGGTGGCAGTGACTGACGTTTCGACAACCTGTGCGGAAGTCATCATCAGAGTCAAGTGAGTGATTGTTGTCAGTAGAATGTTCTTATTCCAGTTCGTGTGAAATGATCGGTTGGTTTTGCCGTGATGTTATTGGCTGTAACATGGAGGAAATCTAATTGAAGTGTTTCTCCTTAGGTTCCTAAATTCTCCCAGTCCAAACTCCACAGAAAGTCCCGTAAAAACAACAAAACAACCACACTAAATTTTTTTTTGGCGTAAGCACTTCTCCCCTAAATCTGGGTCTTTTATTTCTGAACTGTCAATCAATTCACGTGAGTAACATAACTTCAGACTGGTAAAGTTAACTTCCAGTCTGCTTTTTCAAAAGTTTTTTTAGAAAAAGAAAGAACAGAAAATAATCCTTAACATGAAGTATTTGCACTGTGTCTATGATGTGTTGTGCTGTCTACCTTTCTAGTATATATAATTATTATAAGTTAAGTATCACTTGTAATAGGGTTAGCATTGTGAGTTATAAGTATGCATACAATTTACAACTATACGAATATAAATAAGCAAAAAAATAAAATTAAAGATGGTGACATAGACAATCCCATGAGATGGACCATGAACAAACCAAGTCTTTAACAAAAATTGATATTAAAAAGGACTACCTTCTTATAATAAATTTATAAAATGATTTAAAGAACATTCAAGCGTTCCCTTGAACTTCGTGTTTCTTTGTACGTTAGCATCTCAATCAAACGTGAACAGGATTTATAAATTTCCACGTATTAGTAATACTAAGTTTTAAAACTTACAGGGATTTATATGGCAACAAGATCGAGAATTTATAAGGCAATGTATTTTCCCAATTAGTCAAGTTACAGTGGCTGTAAGTGAAAAGTCGTCTCTACAAATGATTTATATAAACTTTTGCAACACTTACTTCCAGCACTTCCCCCCTAACCCCCCCCTTCCCTCTTTCACAAGTGATATTCCCCAGTTTTGGAACATTATATCCACTAAGATTAGTCTTCGTTTGAATTTCATTTAAGAAAAGAGAGTGTTTTATGGATGTTAATGAACGCAAATATAATATGTTTGCTCATAAAGTCAAACTATGTTTGCTCATAAAGTCGAACCATAGAACACTCAAAAGAAAACATACCACGTAGCAAATGGTTGTCACTGGAGAGCTGGTTTACTTACTTAGCACAAACATTACATCCACGGTGAAATCCTTTTCCGCTTAGTTTCTGTAAGTAATAAAAGTTTAAGATTACGAAGATCATGTTTTCATTCTTTTTACTTACTTATGTCAGCCAAATTTTTCTCAAGCTTCATTCATGGCGAGGAAAATAGGGTCGAGGATGGTTTTTAAGATAATTGTAGTATTTGATTTATTGGTCAAGGTACAATCTCTCTTAGTACAAAACTTCACTTTTGTGAATAAAAAAGAATTAAAAAAAAAAAACTCTTACAGCAGGTACCAAAATATTCTGGTGAACTTGGTAAGGAATTAAATGTAACATATTCAGCACCATCAACTTGATATCACATCCCAGGACAGTATCAACAAACTCTGCACTTATGTCCAGAAGACATTTGGGGGATAGGACATATGTACTTATAAACAATTCTGGTGTTTTGCTTATGGTGGGAACTTAATATGTTGTAGGGTATGGGCATTGGCCAATGTTTACTTCTAGTTTTTCTAGCCATTTCATTTATGATCAATAATCTCCATTTGGTGCAAAAATGTGTGCAGGTGTCTGTTTGTAGAATTCATCTGATTAGTCAGGAACAAAAAAATAATGTTTCCCAAGAGTGAAGCTCGAGAAAAAAGTGTGAGCTTGTAATAATGTCAGTATGCCCTATTATCTTCAATTATATTTGAAAGTGTGAGTTATAAGTATGCATACAATTTACAACTATACGAATATAAATAAGCAAAAAAATAAAATTAAAGATGGTGACATAGACAATCCCATGAGATGGACCATGAACAAACCAAGTCCATAACAAAAATTGATATTAAAAAGGACTACCGTCTTATAATAAATTTTTAAATGATTTAAAGAACCTTCAAGCGTTCCCTCAGCTTAAGACGGCCTTGAACTTCGCATTTCTTTGTACGTTAGCATCTCAATCAAACGCGAACAGGATTTATAAATTTCCACATATTAGTAATACTAAGTTTTAAAACTTACAGGGATTTATATGGCAACAAGATCAAGAATTTATAAGGCAATGTATTTTCCCAATTAGTCAATTTATAGTCGCTGTAAGTGAAAAGGCGTCTCTACAAATGATGTATATAAACTCTTGCAACACTTACTTCCAGCACTTCCCCCCTAACCCCACCCCCCTTCCCTCTTTTACAAGTGACATTCCCCAGTTTTTGGAACCTTATATCCACTAAGATTAGTCTTCGTTTGAATTTCATTTAAGAAAAGAGAGTGTTTTATGGATGTTAACAAACACAAATAATTATAATATGTTTGCTCATAAAGTCGAACTATGTTTGCTCATAAAGTCGAACCATAGAACACTCAAAAGAAAACATACGACGTAGCAAATGGTTGTCACTGGAGAGCTGGTTTACTTACTTAGAACAAACATTACATCCAGGGTGAAATCCTTTTCCGCTTAGTTTCTGTAAGTAATCAAAGTTTAAGATTACAAAGATCATGTTTTCATTCTTTTCATTTACTTATGTCAGCCAAATTTTTCTCAAGCTTCATTCATGGCGAGGAAAATAGGGTCGAGGATGGTTTTTAAGCTAATTGTAGTATTTGATTTATTGGTCAAGGTACAATTGCTGTTAGTGCAAAAGTTCACTTTCGTGAATAAAAAAGAATTAAAAAAAAAAACTCTTACAGCAGGTACCAAAATATTCTGGTGAACTTAGCGAGAAATTAAATGTAACATATTCAGCACCATCAACTCGATATCACATCCCAGGACAGTATCAACAAACTCTGCACTTATGTCCAGAAGACATTTGGGGGATTGGACATATGTACTGATAAACAATTCTGGTGTTTTGCTTATGGTGGGAACTTAATATGTTGTAGGGTATGGGCATTGGCCAATGTTTACTTCTAGTTTTTCTAGCCATTTCATTTATGATCAATAATCTCCATTTGGTGCAAAAATGTGTGCAGGTGTCTGTTTGTAGAATTCATCTGATTAGTCAGGAACAAAAAAATAATGTTTCCCAAGAGTGAAGCTCGAGAAAAAAGTGTGAGCTTGTAATAATGTCAGTATGCCCTATTATCTTCAATTATATTTGAAAAATAGTCTTTTCTCAAATCAGATGTTAGGTTTGAAAATTTATGAACATAAACTGAGAAAAATCCCCAGTGCTCCACAGTTTTAGTTCCAGGGGCACACTCAGTCATATGATCCATTTAGACCAACAGCATTTGAGGGAAGCTACTTTTATTACGAATTATAATGAATAATGTGTAATTTCCACTGATATACTTAAACAAGGAAGAAGAAAAGGAAAATAAATAATGAGAAAAAATGAAAAAAAATTGTTTTGCAGTGATAAATTGAATTCATTTCAATACATTTGGAACAGAATTAAATTAAAAACTAACAACCTGAACAAAATTGGAACATAACTAAAAAGAAGTTCAGACTTTCTCCTTAAAGCCCATCCTTTCTCTTAATTACTACAAATTTTAATGTCTAATTCACAGCAGTAGTGCTTCCAGCTTTGTTATTATTTAAACAAGAAAAGCTTGAGGAGGGCTTTAATCTCCAGGGGGTCTGGCACTTAAATAACCAAATCTATGCATGTATTTTCTTGTTCACAGGTAGATGGGTCTATAACTGGGGGCCAGGGTTAAACAGTTGCAAGTACATGGCAGTTTATATTATCCCCTCCTCCTTCCACTATAAAATTTTAATTTTTACCTGCAGGAAGCAGCTTCTTTAACATATAAAACAAATCCAATATGTTGTCCTTTGCATCCAAACTTTCCCTGCAAGTCACCTCTGTCAGAAGTATTTACTATCACTTCAATCTGCCATTAAAAATATCAGCATTTCATTATCTCATGCTCTATAAAAAGTCACTCAGATGACCAGAAGAAGCCACTACATGCATGTATCCTGTTATTTATTATAATCATGGAGGGGAGTGCTGTACTAGCAACTTAAACATTGAATTCATGACAATCAATATGACTTCCCTACATGACTGTGTAACATGAGTGGTGATATTGAGCAACCACGTCACCATTCCTGCTTTCTCAAACTTTGCTGAATGAACTTGCTTTGTTTCTTATTCGGAATAATGGCCGCAAGATTTGTTGTGGTGTGGTGAGCGACGAAGATGTAAATGCATTTTCCCAACAACAAGAAGAAGAGAAAAACAAAATTAAGGAAAATGCTCTTTGATCTAAACATTATCAATTTAAGAGTTTCTTGATACATTTTGTTTCTAGTACGTCAATCTATTAATAAATTCATTTTATCGATTTCTCGCCTGACTTCGTGGCCGATATTAAGGGAAGGAAAATGGCTTATACATTTCGAAGGAAGGATTTTGATTGTTTAAAATAATCGCCGCTAAGTTTCGTGGTGCTTGTCGTGACTAACGAAGAACAAAACCAAAACATCAAAGGGTTGGTCCATGTTTGAGGTTCAGTCCCTGGACTTGAGGTCATTGCTTTGTCCACCAACCTATTGCTTTGTGATCAGTTCTTTCCACATTTGTTAGAGGATGAGTACGTAATGGTTCTAATAAGATACATTTCATAGACACTGAATCGGTTGAAAGTCTCGTTTAGACCTCTCACCTGTCGAAGTACAAACGAGAATTTTCATCCCGGAGGGTGGAAGTTACTTCACCCATCCATGTACAAAGTGAAGAGGAGAATACTCTTTTTTAGAACAGGCTTTCAATTGTAACACAGCTGTCGAACGAACCGTCCTGACTTTACAGTGCGACATCAATTTTTTCAGTACTAAATTCATGGCTGTCCACCATTTTGAATGCGGTTCCTAGGAAACTGGGTCGAGAGGTAGTCCCGGCCAATCAGAACTAACAAACCGCGTTCAAAGAAATCTGTGCTCTTCATTGCAAAATCTGGACTTTGATTTTGAAATTCGGAATTTGGATTTTGCGGTAAAAAAAGAAATCCAAAAACGAGATACGACGCTGAGAAAACATGGATTTCTATGTCTCACAACTTTTGGGAAATCTAAAGAGGGATTTGCAACTGACTACGGCTGTTCAAGGTGGGGTCTCTATGGGTTCACGGATAGCTGTAAAACGGCAAAGATATCAGCTTTCATGTATTGGGACTGGAATCTTTTAAAATTGAAATCTACCTTAAGGAAGGATTTTCAACATCGAAATCCGTTGGTGCTTTTCATGTTTTATTAAAAAATCCCAAATCTGGAATTTCAAATCTAAAAATCCGGATTTTCTGATCGAAAGCACCACGCCGACTCCCCCTTTAGAGCCTTTAGTGCAATTAGAGCCGTTTTCCCGATATTCCACAAGTATTCGCAGTTATTTTTAACTCTTGAAAAGAACTAGGATTATTTTAATAAAGTCTTTAACTAAAGGCAGAAAACAAAATGCCTTTAGCTTTTCGAATAAATTATCAAGGTTACCTACGGCTGCAAGTTTCTGTAAAATCGGTTCACTCGTCTCCACCCTCTGGGACACTTTCTGACTGACAATAACACTTGAAATAGTCAAGAGAAAATAATTGTGATTATTTCCTTTCGAAATATTTTAATCATTTCCATGATTCAATTTAATCAGAACACGTAAAAGTGATGTGAGGAAATAAGATGGGCTAGTTATATTAAAACGAACCGATCCCGTTACTACAGACTTACCTCTATATTTACAAATTGTTTATAATAATAATAATAATAATAATAATAATAATAATAGTAATAATAACAATAACAACATTGATTTCTATAGCGCTCTTATCCTATGTTCAAGGCGCTTTATATCACTGTGCGGGGTACTTTGTCAGACTGCCAGTGGCAGTTTATAATCAACAAAGGCGAATTTTTTTTTTTTTTACAGCTGCCCCCTCCTCCCAATTCCCAATAAACAGGCCAGACCACATCACAGTAATCTCGTGATGTAGGTTCTTTAACGTCCCCCGCCTAATCAAATTATCTAATTAATAGATGGAGGAGACGGGACCAACGGTTTATTCGTCCGGCGCTCTAACCAATTGAGCTAACCGGGAGGCGGTTTGATGACAACTGTCAGAAGACGAGAATGCTGTCTGTTCTCCTTAAAGAAAATAAAACCGAGAAATTTCTGTCTTCACTTTTAAACATATGTTGAGGGGTTTTACCACTCGCTTGGCAAATTAACAAGAAGTACTGAGACTCTGTAATTTTCTTCTTTATTCTCTCTCTTGTTCCATTGCTTATTTCTACTACTTATTTCTACTACTTATTTCTACTACTTTCAGCAAGGAGTGCTCCAGTATT